ACCCAATATTAAAGTGGGTTAATTGTCTGCCTGGTGATTGTTATGAAAGCACAGCTATACTGTAATTATACTGTTATTCTGCATACTCTCAGTTGATGTTACTTTTAAAGTTACTTAAGAAAGGCTCAAAGAACATGAGTTTAGCACCTTTTTTTTCAGCTGGCAGGCAAACGCTGCTCTCAACATTGGTGGCATACCCACTGATGTCTTGATTTCTGAGTATATGTTCCAAGGTCATCTTCTTTCCATGCTTTCATGGATTTCTCAGGCTTCCCAAACATTATTTACATGTTTAAATTCCCATAATAGATTTGGTTTGACCTTGGGACACACAAAAATTTATTTAAAAGCTGATGGATAAAAAAGAGAAAACATAGCATTTAAAATTTTTGGTTTGCTTTAAAAAGAACAGATGTTCTAAATATTTTGAAAACCCAAACCCTTCTGCTGTTCTCTTTTCATGCCACTGGCAATTCAAATCTTTACTCTGATAACAATACGAATTACCACAGAAGTAGTGAAATTGTCTTCTAAAAAGGGATTAAAAGGTTAAGCAACCGAGGGAAAAGATTTTTACAATGCTCAAAACAACCTATTTTGCAGTACATTACTCCAAGCATTCTGGTGGCAACAAAGCAGTCACCCTAAAAAGGAAACAATTTTATTACACCAGCTGATTGAAATGCTTTGATACTGTTGGAAGAAATGCCTAACGAAGCATTAGGAAGGGACCTAGAAACATTTTTTACTAATGGCAAATGTGGGAGAGGAAACCTGTCATGCTTCTGAAGGTACTGGTTGCTAAGGAATACATACAAGGTCTTAGAGGGAAAAAGTGCTAGAGGAAAAGGTGTGTTCATCACTCATGATGAGACAGCTGTGAAAATGCATCAAGCTGCTCTGTGAAACTGAGATAATCAGTACAGCTCTAGACAAGCCAGGTTGGATACCAGAAGCAAACTCAAGACTCCAAGTTTCTTTGTCTTTGCTAATATAGTGTCTCAAGTTATCTAATGTGGGTTAACTAATTAAGAAACTCTTGGTGGTATATCACAGAACCTATTTATCAGGATATATAACCAGTTCTGAAAAGAACCCCAGAAGTCATTGTAGTGGGTGACTCCATTCTGAGGGGTGTTGAAGGCCCAATATACAGACCAGACCCACTTCATAGGGAAGTCCGTGCATCCCTGGGGTACAGGTCAAGGATCTCACAGCAAAACTCCCTGCTCTAGTGAGACCCAAGGACTACTACCCTCTCTTGGTTTTTCCAGTAGGTAGTGATGACATTACCAGGAGAAGGCCTAAATCAATGAAGAGAGATTTCAGGGCCTTAGGGAAACTGATTAAGAGGTTGGAGGCACAGATTGTGTTCTACATTCCTTCAGTTATGGGGATGGATGAAGAATAGTACCAGAGAATTCAGCAGATGAACTTGTGACTCCAAGCCTGGTGTTACTGTCAGGGCTTGATTTTTTTTCAATCATGAGTTGGTATACAGGGCACCAGACCTTTTGACATCAGATGGGATGCACCTGTCCCAGAGGGGGAAAAGGGTCTTGGGGCAGGAGTTAGCTGGGCTCACTGATGGAGCTTTAAACTAGATCTGAAGGGGGAAGGGGGTAGAACATCAGCCCATCTGAAGTGCATGTATACCACTGCACACAGCATGGGTAACAAACAGGAGGAGCTTGAAGCCATGATGCAACAGGAAAATGATGATGTAGTGGCTATAACAGAAACATGGTGGGATGTCTCCCATGACTGGAGTGCACCAGTCAATGCATACAAGCTCTGTAGAAGGGATAGACAAGGAAGGAGAGGGGGTGAGTGGTGCTGTATGTTAGGGGCTGTTACGATTGCTTTGAGCACAAGTGTAGTGAAGACAGGGTGGAGTGTCTTTGTGTTAGAATCAGGAGGAAGGCCAACAGAGCAGACGTTGTAGGAGTCTACTATAGGCCACCCTCCCAGGACAGAGAGGTGGATGAAATATTCTACAGACACTTAGGAGAAATCTCACAATCACTTGCCCTTGTTCTTATGGGAGACTTTTAACTTCCCAGACATCTGCTGGAAATACAACACAGCAGAGAGGGACCAGCCCCGGAGATTCCTGGACTATGTGGGAGATAACTTCCTGACGCAGCTGGTGAGTGAACCGACCAGAGAAGGTGCCCTGCTGGATCTCCTCTTTGTGAAGAGAGAAGGGCTGGTGGATGATGTGGTGGTTGGAGGACAACTAGGGCACAGCGGTCATGATATAATAGTCTCCTATATTCTTAGAGACGCCAGGAGAGGGGGCAGCAGAACTGACATCCTGGACTTCCAAAGGGATGACTTTGCCCTGTTTGGGCACCTGCTTGGCAGGATCCCTTGGGAGATGGTCCTGAAGTGTATAGGGGCCCAGGAAGGCTGGGCACTCTTTAAGGAGGAAGTGTTAATGGCTCAGGAGCAGGCAGTCAGGAGCAGGTGCTGTAAGAGAAGCTGGGACCAGAAAAGACCACTCTGGCTTAACAGGGAGCTTTGGCTGCAACTCAGGGAGAAAAGGAGAGTTTATGGCCTTTGGAAAAAAGGGGCTAGCAACTCTCAGTGATTACAAAGATGCTGTGAGGCTATGCAGGGTGGAAATCAGGAGGTCTGAAGCCCAGCTAGAAATTAATTTGGCTTCAGCAATCAAGAACAAGAAGAAATGTTTCTATAAATATGTCAGTAGCAAAACAAAGACCAGGGAGAGCCTTCATCCCCTGCTAGACAAAGAAGGAAACATGTCAACAACTGATGAGAAGGCAGCTGAGGTGCTTAATGCCTTCTTTACCTCAGTCTTTAATAACAAGACTAGTTGTACTGAGGGAATCCAGCTCCTCAGCCAGAAGACAGAGACTGGGAGAACGACCCCCCCACAATCCAGGAGGAGACAGTCAGTGACCTGCTACATCACACCAACACACACAAGTCTATGGGACCGGATGGGATACACCCGAGGGTGCTGAAGGAGCTGGCTGGGTGCTCACTAAGCTGCTTTCCATCATTTACCAGCAGTCCTGGCTGACCGGGGAGGTCCCGACAGATTGGAAATTGGCCAATGTGACGCTCATATATAAGAAGGGTCGGAAGGATAATCTGGGATATCACAGGCCTGTCAGCTTGACTTCGATGCCCGGGAAGCTCATGGATGGAGCAGCTCATCCCGAGTACCATCACACAACACATGCGGGACAACCAGATGCTCAGGCCCAGTCAGCATGGGTTTATGAAAGGCAGGTCCTGCCTGACAAACCTGATCTCCTTCTACGACAGGGTGACCTGCTTATTGGATGAGGGAAAGGCTGTGGATGTTGTCTACCTTGACTTTGTCAAGGCTTTTGACACTGTTTCCCACAGCATTCTCCTGACAAAACTGGCTGCTCGTGGCTTGGATGGGCACACACATTGCTGGGTAAAAAACTGTCTGAATGGCCAGGCCCAGAGAGTTGGGGTGAACGGAGTTAAATCCAGTTGGCGGCTGGTCACGAGAGGTGTCCCCCAGGGCTGGGTTTTGTGGTCACTCCTGTTTGACATCTTTATTGATGACCTAGACGAGGGGATCAAGTGCACCCTCAGTCAGTTTGCAGATGACACCCAGTTGGGTGGGAGTGTTGATGTGCTCGAGGGTAGGGAGGCTCTGCAGAGAGACCTGGACAGGCTGGAGCCATGGGCTGAGGCCAACTGGAGGAGTTTCTATAAGGCCAAATGCCGGGGGCTGCCCTTGGGCCACAACAACCCCCAGCAGCGCTACAGGCTTGTGAAGCACTGGCTGGAGAGCTGCCAGTCAGAGAGGGACCTGGGGGTGTTGACTGACAGCCGGCTGAACAGGAGCCAGCAGTGTGCCCAGGGGGCCAAGAAGGCCAATGGCATCCTGGCTTGTGTCAGCAATAGCGTGGCCAGCAGGGACAGGGAAGGGATCTGACCCCTGTACTCGGCACTGGGGAGGCAGCCCCTCGATTCCTGTGTTCAGTTTTGGGCCCCTCACTACAAAAAGGACATTGAATGACTCGAGTGTGTCCAGAGAAGGGCAACGAAGCTGGTGCAGGGTCTGGAGCACAGGTCATACGGGGAGCAGCTGAGGGAACTGGGGCTGTTTAGTCTGGAGAAGAGGAGGCTGAGGGGAGACCTCATTGTCCTCTACAGCTCCTTGACAGGAGGGTGCTGAGAGCTGGGGATGAGTCTCTGTAACCAAGTAATAAGCAATAGGACAAGAGGGAGTGGCCTCAAATTGCACCAGGGAATGTTTAGACTAGATCTTAGGAAGCATTTCTTTACAGAAAGGGTTGTTAGGTGTTGGAATGGGCTGCGCAGGGACGTGGTAGAGTCCCCATCCCTGGAGGTGTTTAAGAGTCGGGTTTACTTATTGCTTAGGGATATGCTGTAGCTGGGAACTGTCAGTGCTAGGTTAATGGTTAGACTAGATGATCTTCAAGGTCCTTTTCAACCTATCTGATTCTGTGATTCTGTGATATAAATAGCTTCACAGAATTTTAATATGGCAGCTAGGATCTGTAACTCTCACCAAATTTGGCCACAGTAGTGATCTGGGATGTGGTGGCATTGTTTGTGTATGTCCCCTCTTCCATATTCTGAGTTGGGGTCTGCTGTGTTAAAAAATATAATCTCAACTATTCATTAAATAATTTTGAAAGAAAATAACTTCATTAGCTTACAATCATATACAGAAGCCTAAAATGTTGAGGAAATGCTTTTGCTGAGCACTAACTGTGTAGCTAATCTCTTTTTCCAGGCTTCTGTAACTCAGTGAACCATGATTTATTAGTCTTGAAGACTTCAGAGTACTTCAATCTGTATATCGAATGAGGGGTTGAATGCATAATGTTAAAAGCAGCAACAGACATATGAAACTTCTAACAATGACAGCTAATTAATTATAGCCCATTTAAGCCACAAAGTAAAACTGACTTAAGCTTTTGCATCACACCATCATGCCTTCCTACAAAGCAATTTTCTTTTTGCTCCAAACATGTAATGAGTGTGGGATCTTCAGCTAGATGGGTCTTCAGGTTGGGTCCTCAACATCTTTATCCGTTTTTCCAGCCTCTCCATCCATTCATTTCTGAGCCTAAGGACAGAAACATGGATCAGCTTGTCCCGTTATTTTTACAGGGAACACATTTATACTCTTAATGTTTCCCACCTGTGCTATCCTTTGGTGCTTTCTCCCAGTGGCCATGAAAACTGTGCTGCCCTTTTAGAGTGCTTTGCTAGATGGGATTTTAGGACTAACTCTTAGATCCCGATGAGAGCTCACCTGAGCTTTGTGGTTCATCTTCATCTCCAGTGTGCCCTCTCTTAAGTGCCTCTGTGTGTCAGTGACTTGTCATCTCCGCTAGAGTTTGCCTGCTGCCACCTGCTGGGTATCATCACCCAGCATTTCCCCAGTCCCCCACCTCCTCAGAAACACTTTAAAGAAAGTGCTGCATAGAGGTCCCTAAGCACTGTTTGGCTTGGAATCACCGTGCATGTTGAAACTTCTGTTAGACTCATAGCAGACATCTTTAAGTGACACTTTGTTGGGTTTTTTTATCTCTCTCTTTTCTTTTTTTTTTTTTTTTTTTTTTTTTTTTTTTTTTTTTTGGTATTATCTAGGTACCACAGAAAGACTGCCTCAAATAGAGAAGATAGGAATTTCACAGCTGAAGAGTTGAGACATTAAAATTAGATTAGTTACAAATGGATAAAGTATGCTAGACTAATTCCAGTCTTCCTTCATCCAGAGTTATTTATGCAAGGTCATCCTTGCTGTTATCTTTTCAAGCATCAATCCAAAGAGAAGTATGAGGGAGATTTTGAAAAAATGCTCTAATTGAATGATCTCAAGGCAAAATAAGCTTCTTTGCATGTGCCTTCAACTTATGAAGACTTCATGTGAAGTAAAACTGTACTGCTCTTGCCACAAACTGGTCGTTGTGGCTGATTAAGGTGAATATGGCTATGGATGATGGTTGCCTTAGTTAGTACACTTGGACTATCTGCTTTATTCCGGATTTGCATTATTCAGATTAATCCATCTTAATTAATTAAAACTATATTATTGTGAAAACAAGGTCACAGAGAAAGAAGGTGGGCGAGGCACACGTCTGTAAGCCATGATGTTCAAGACAAGTCTGCACTGGTAGATATTATCTGATAATTCAGAATGTTCCACACTTTGGACCCATTTATGGAACTAGAGTCAATTATTCTCTTATCCTGTGAAGCCACATCTTAGACATGTTAGCATTAGCATGCCAGTTTGGGAAGCTTTATTATTTTCAAAAAATCTAAGAAAAATACTTTCAGTTTTCATTGCATGACTTAAATATAGGTACCACTTTTCTTTAAAACAGCATTACAATGTAAACTCAAATAACTTTCCTAGAGGCACACTACCCACTTTGTCAGAGCACTTCTTCGCTGACGTTCTTTTTCAATTTGCAGATACCGAGTTTGTTGTTCAATAGTCTTTTCCCAGAATTTCCTCAGGTCACTAGTTTCGCATCCCCGCACTTCATGACGTATGTATTGGCTATTCATTTTCTCTAAAGGAGAAATTTGAAACAACCATATGACAAGTTATTGGTTCCTCCTCTGTTTTCATGGTTAAAGCACACTGTTGTTTTACATTTTCACAGTGTTAGGGTCACAGTCTTTTTTTTTCTTTTTTTAGGAGCTGGATAACAGTGGGCATAACTCACTATTTATTTAAGCTTTTCATTCCTAGCTATGACACTTGAGGCTATGCTGTCTGCAGTGATTTGAATTCTTACTTGTTCATCTCAAATATCTCTCATCTCCACCAGCCTGTGACCTTTAAGCTCACAGTGTGGGACAGTTTTGTTGTATTCTCTAGCTTACTGATTAAGATAACTTTCACTGTACTAAAAAATGGGAAGGAAATGTAAAAATTGCCAGACCTTGGGGGATTTTTCCTCACTGTTTTCATTCTATAAAACGATAAAGTGGCCATTGTAGATTAATGTTAAAACAATGAAGAAAAGGAGCTCTGGTGATTTGCTGTTAATCATTATGACACCTTAGTTTTATTTGGGAATGGAGAAAATTTATGTATATAACAGTAAGTACATAATTTTATAGGATGTTGAATTGCAAAAGCCACATTGTTTATTAAGCGTTTCTCCTGCTTCTGCAATTTTCAAAACAGAGCAAATTCATATTTATAAATTTATATCTCTGCCCATTCTGCACTTCCACCTTCATTTAATGTAATCCTAAAAATAAATTTCTGAGTTACTCTTATCCTAAGAAAAGAATATCTGCCTCAGGATGACTCTTCATGGGCTAAGAGTCAAGGTCCTCTATCTCACATTAGAACCAGAAAATCATATAATTACTCTCAAAACTTCATTAAATATCAAATAAATATATCAATGATGCCTTCCAAATTGCTGTGTGGTTTTGCATGAACATACCATTATAATGTTTTCCAGAAAATATTATTTCTTTTTAACAAGTATTTAGGGCTCTCTCATGTGTTGTTTGAATTCATGGCAATTATTTGTAATTTATTTTAATCAGAGCCATAGAGAGCTAGTAAATAAGCCCCTCAAAGTTAGCCTGGAAAAGCTTGAAGAAACTGCTGCCATTCTGCTGCCAGGCATCTGAAGAAAAGCAAAATTAGGAACTCGTAATCTTTACATAATTCCATTTTGAGATTTGTCTGTTTTGTGAAAAACTGTGAGACACATTATAAAGAATCTATGAGCAGAGAACAAAAGCAGCCCTTTTGAAGAGGTTCCTTTCTTGCTGGGATTTCCCTGTGATTCCCCAGTGGTTCCCTGTAAAAGCTCCAATTATCAACTCATGGACTACAAATGATAGAAGCACAGTATTTGAGCCTGACTTCTGAAAAGAAATTTACTGAGCCTTTTTTTTTCAGATTCTGAGCAAATTATAGCTGGATATCTAAGTGTTGGCATCAGTCTGTAATATGAATTGCAAGTACAGCTGAACACCCCTTCTGTGCTAGGGGATAACCAATTCCAGGTCAAAAGTTCTCTTAGTATGACTATGTGTTTTCATAAAATATATGTATTCTATAAATATCCACATACATACCAATGCCAACTTAAATCTCTCTTGCCAGGTAGCAGTTACTACCAGTTTTAACTTTTTGTGTACCAGTAGTAATCTAGAAATATGTGAAAAAGATACGGCAACAGCCATGTAGGTCAGACTAACGGACTTTCCACTCCAAGAGTTAATCTTTGAGAATAACAGTGTTTCTGAAGACCAGCAAGAGAAATTCCCAGATATTCCCAAGGCTCCAAAATAAACTGCCAGGAAATAATGTCCCTTGATTTTCTTAATCAGAATTAATCCCAAAACATAATAACTTCTGAATGATTATAGATTCCTGTTTAATATAGTGTAGATGTTCTTTTCTATGTATATGACAGTGAAAATCTCTCGTGAATAAGGCAAATTTGTGGAACTCATTGACACAAGGTATAACCAAGCTGAAATAAATGCTTTCAGAATACATGTTACTGGTTTTAAATGCTTTGCCTCTTTGCCTCCTGGTTCTTAGTGCTGGCTTGAATGTATTTTATAGATGTGTCTCTCTAACTTCCCTCCCCACAGCAAAAAAATCTCAAGGAGAATGTTTTAAACCCAATAAAAGAGAAGTTCAGAATTAGTCTTCATTGTTATACACCTTACATCTGGTGCTGACAGTATTCAGAAGAATGTTAGAATGTTGTTGAAACTATCATGTATGTATAGTACTATGCATTACAGGTTTGAGTGTGGGGATTTTTTTGGGGGGGAGTGGAAATGAGTGTTTTTCTCTGTTATCTGTGAAATTGTCTTTGTATGTGCTTGCTCACTAAGAGCATTGTCCAAACCTCTCCTTTTCTAACCTTTTATTTTGTGTTAACATATGAACACCTTAGGCTTGAATTTTCTCTTACCCAGCACTTAATCTTCCTCTTTATTTTCTTTCCCCCTAATACCAGAGAATACTCAAATATGTATCAAAGCCACTGAACTTAGAATTTCTGCATGGTTGTTTTACTGATCCTCGTACATCCTTGATAAACACCAGTGTGTCAATGCATCAGCATTTGCTTCTTCGAACTGTAGAATCATCCTACCCTAAATTACCTTTTATTTCAAGCCTTATATTTGATTTAATTCACATGGTGATTGTATGACCTGCACAATAACTCTTCTAAAATAACCCACCTGGTTTCCTTTGGTTTTATGTATCACATACATACATGTTTGAATTCACATCTGTCCTACCATCCATTTCAAACTGTTGCTATAAACCTTCAGAGTTGTGCGGGCAACCAGGGATATCAAATCTTGGTCTATCAGTATTTCACCTGCCCTAAGATAAAGTTTCTGTGCTAAAAATTTTATCAGTGATGGAAACTCTTTATTTTGCCCTCATAGAGGAGAGTAACAGGACTTAAGCCTGTATTGTGGCTTTGCACTGGCAGTTACCACCAGGGTATAGTTTATTTTCATACCTTGGAATCTCATTCAGAGCAGTTAGCAAAAAGGACCTTGTTTAACAGGGAAAAAGAAGAATGGAAAAGAAATAATGGAAACAGCCTTCAAAGTAGCCTGAACAAATAATCTCTATGTACGATACAACAGGTGGGAATAAATATACTGCTAAAACATATAAGCACTTGTAATAGCACATTTATAGATCTTGCAGTTAGGTCTGACTTAAACAACCCTGCAACAGCTAGGATTAAATGAAGCTTTATTTAAGCCTCTACTGACAATCTTTCAACAGGACAATAACGGGAGCGTCTTTCTGGTAATCATCTGTCCTGGTTTGAGTAAGTGTCTGGGAGTGTTTTGGTAGCAAGGGAGGGGGTTACAGCAGTGAGAAACTTCTTGAAGCTCCCCTGTCTCCAAGTTGGACCTGTCTTTGCACCATGGCCAGGCCAATTAGCTGCGTCTCTGCAATAATGGTATTTAAGAAGGGGATCCTCGGAGGAATTGTGGGAGTTATGAGGAGAAGTTGCAAGGAGAACATCTGTGGGAATACCAAAGTAAGAAAGGAAGAGAAGTGGGAAAGCTGCGCTGGAGCAGAGACTCCCCTATATCCTGTGGTGAGATGGCAGGGCCACCCCCTGCCACCCATGGAGGTCTATGGTGGAGCAGATACTAATCTGTGGTCTGTGGGGTGTCCCATGCTGGGACAGGTGACTGTGCCTGAAGAAAGCCCTCAAATAAAAGGAATATCTGGATAAACTCTAGGAAGGCTTTATCCTACACAAGATAAATATGATGATTATTTATTTTTAGATTTAACAATTTTAGAGCAGGTTGATATTATTTAGGATGAATTTGCTAAAGGAGATCTTACAAAGGTAGGGAAACTGTGACACTAGCACTGTTATTTGGAACTCATAAATTATGTTGGTAGAACAAAAGAGGAATGTAAGATCAATTTGATGTGACATCTTGACTTTTTTGTAAGTAAAAAAAATCAATAGTTTCAGGTTGGAACTCACAGGTTCTTTGAGAAACCATTACCACCATAAGAAACACAATGTTTCATGGAGACAATTGGAAGTCATAAGATTCTTAGCTAGAAAATGGTATGTAAAGAAAAATGTGGGTTTTTTCCTGTAGTAGAACACAAATTGTTATTTTAAATGGTTTCTAAAATTTACAAAGCATCTACAGAAGTTAGAAAAGCTTTTTTTTTTTTTCCCCTTCTGTGCTTCGTGCATAACACAATTGGTCAGAGTTTTCAGGCTGTTATGAATCTTCCTAGAAATAATACAATATTTTATCCATCTAGCTTTTCATGGACCTTGCTTGGTGACTGTGCTTGTTATATATATATGTACTGGATTAATAAAAAATTGCATGATGTATAGGAGAGTAGACTATGCCAGTGTTGACATTTGACTTTAAAACAATAAGAAACCTGCTTTGATTTTAGAAAATGGGACTAGTAATCACAGACAAGATGTCCCTCTATCTCCTTGAGTCTTGGCTACATCATTTATTTTCTGCTTCTGCAGCTGGCACCAATTCATATCTCAAAGGGCTGACTGGTGTTTGCTTTGAAATCCTGCCTGGGGAAGTCTACCAGTTTCAAGTCTAACTTAAGTCTCCAGGTCCTGGGTAAAACTCTTTGGGGACAGAAGAAATCACTTCAGTTTAATCCCCTTGTACCCTTCTGTTTGTGTGGTAGGTCACAGAGTGCAGTCTATCACACAAATAACCTGAGCCTCAGTGCTGCTTGTGAGTGACATGGGGAGATGTTTCTCACAGTTCATGCTGACTGCCTTGCTGGTGCCCAGCTACAGAGCTGCACCTCTTGGAGCATGAGACTGGGGATGAGGGATGGCTGGTATGATCTTCTGGTGGACACAGGTCCCTAACACTGTGTTGATTTCTTTCAAGAATTCATTAGTGTATCTCATAAGCAAAGATGCGTGCCTTTGCATGTATACTGCACTGTTCTCTTTCCATTTGCACTTCAGCATTACAGGCTACTAGTCTACGCTTTTATTATGTAAACAGTATTGTGTGGAGTTTGCAATGAAATAAGGGAATTAAAGTGATTTATTCTGCCAGCAGTATTTTCTAGTTTGGTAGAATTTGAAGTATATGCTCTTACCAGGATGTATGCTCAGTCAGGAGGTCCATTCTGTGGGTATGAACTCCAGTCAGATTAGACTTTTCCATGCAATGGGAATTTTCTTTGTATGAAAATGACAACCACACTGACATGTCATTGAGCAATACTAGTATGAGTTACCTGTGTGCATGAGTTACAGGTGTACATGCAAGTTAAGCAATTTTAACATGCAAGTGAAAATGTTTGCACTCAGGCACTACGAAGTAGTCTCTGTTCAACCATTCCCTTTGTTCCTAATTCCCACAGTTCATTATTGCTTTTCTGTGAAAAGCTGATGGTCTGATCCTGTATTTCCAATCTGGAGAATGGCTATTCTTGAAATGCTTTGAACTGTTACAAAATTTGGACCTTTTCTCATATGATACCTTTATGACAAAGAAACATATTAAGGCAAGGCTCATAGCAGCTATGTGTTTTTTGCATCTCACACTGTTACAGTGGCAGCATCAATGTCTTTGAACGCCATGCACTGTAGGTGTTTTCTTCTGTTCATCTATTGGGTGTCAGTTCTCTTTATCTGCTTTCACCCTTCCTGGATACCAGACATCTGAATGATTGAATTATAGAACAGGAGGCAACTGATTCTCTACCTTGCTTTTCTGTACCAGACGGCTCACCTGTACTCAATCTGAGGGTTAAAATTCTTAAAACCTTGAGGAATCAACAGTTTCACTTCCCTCCAGGTTATCCGTTCAATTGTTACTATCCTAGTTTTGCTCCCATGTCTGCTTAGCTACTCTCTTCCACTCTTTGGGTCTCACTGACTCTTCTCCCTCAGCCCATAGCCAAGGGCTTCCATGAGACATCTCTTCACTTTTCCCTTCTCTGCCTTGGTGTCTCTTGATCTTCTCCTTCTGCTCTTGTCACCTCTCATGCCAGCCCTCCAGCCTAGCCTGCCTGTCTCACACCGCCATTTTCAAACATCTTTCTCGTTATTTCCCCAGCTCTGTTCTCTCTGGCAAATCTCTGCTTCTTGCTGGAGCTGCATTTCTCCCTGACTATTCATACTGATCTCATCTTTCCCTGGAGCATCTTTTCAGTGCTCCTTTGCTCCCCAGCTTCTCCCACTCCCTGCCCCTAGCTCTCTGTGGCACCCACTGGCATTCCCACATGTCCTGCCACCAGCACACACAAACAGGACTGTGATGGCAGTCTCACAGAGACAAGCATTGAGTGAACAGGCGTTCATAAGCACCATGCAATAGAGAATGTCCAAATTCTTTCCTGAGCTTTCCATAGATTTCTCCAACTCTTACTGACATTTAATTTCCAACATCTAAAGGCATATTTAAAGTGGCTGTAGTATTCTTGCATGATGAAATATTGTTTCTGATCCCTAGATTTTCCCCACTGCCAGATACATTTGCAGCCTGATCCTATGAACTGCTGAATTCATAAGATCAAGTATATAGCATCAATTAATATTTATTAGTCAACGATTTTGGACACATTTTGTTTTGTTGTTTGATTTTTGAGTACAGGAGGACACGATGGTCTAGGATCAAAGAAGATAAATCCTGCCCAGGGCTCATGTTCTCTGTTAGATCATCCAGTTCTGACAAAACATGCAAGAGAAACTGATCCTGATTCATGTGAAGGTGTGTACCATTAAATTAAAAAGCCTCTCAGCAGCAGATAACTGTTAAAAAACCTTTGCAAGAGGAGTGTGTGTGTAACCTTGGCTACTGTTTAACCAATCAGCTGAGAATGTACAGCCACATTTCTTGGTGTTTTATCCAGGGTTGTGGCATGGAAATTGCCTGTAAATATTTTTCTGTATCAATGCGACTCAGCTTCCTTAGAATGCTGCTAAACTGGGCACTCTTCCCTGGAGTTTTCCTCACACTCTCATCTTTCCTAGAATATACTTTGGTGAGAATTAAAGTTAGAGAACAAATGCATTTCTTGTTGACATTATGAAAAACTTGCTACAAAACCCAAATCGTTACTTACCTTTGGAGTTGGACTCTTCCTGCAAATAAATCCTCTGTGTGACACAAACAAATGAGAAATATTACCACTGCAGCCCTGGCTTCTCCAGTGTCACAGGGCAGTAATGAAATGCATCCCTCAGTACTTTTTATTTGAAGTGGGGGTAACATAAATCCTTCATCATATCAAGGCTATTTTGAACAGAACCAGAGTGAGATAAGATCATTTAATGAACTTTGCAGCCCCCTGCCTGAGATGACCATGAAACACAGGCCCCCTTGAGAGCATGCATCCCTCCCACACTGGCAGATACCTCAGAGAGCATGACTTGGCAAGTGCTGAGAATTTTCTTTAAAATGCATGCTAGTATTAGCCATTTTAATATTCCTCCTGTGAAGCCTGAAAAATTCCACACTACTATCTTAGCTGTAATGGAGGCTGAAATGGTGTGACAAATCACACTCGGTTTTGCATTACAGGGTGACTTACAGAAGTATGCAGTACTTTGGAGTTGTTAATCTAAGGATGTGTGCTTCATTATGACCTATCACACAATCTGTTCTCTTCAAGGCAATCGTCACAGGAATTGTCTGTTTGGTTAACATTAGCTTACAAAATGCATTCATGCAGCACTAATTTTACTATTTGGAATTGTTATAACTCTATTACAGATGAACACTTACATCATTAAATTTCATTTTCTGAGAAGAATATTTTGTATGTTTGGTTGATGACAGATGTATGTGCTGGTCTCAGTTTTCATTAAATCCATCTACATTGCTAATATACCTTGTTTGACTGCCGTATTTATACAGTTGCTGATTATTTTAACCTTCCCTTGTTGTAATTTTTCAGATTCCAAGTAGCAAAAGTAGCAGCTATTAGATTGATGATTCATATGAATATTAGTTCATATTTATTTATTTACTTTTTCTGTAGTCAACTTTACAGCAGAAAACCGTGAGCAAAACCTAGCAGCTGCAGCTTTTCTCTGTAAAGAAAAATGTAAACTCTTTCCAAAAAATGGTCAGTCTAACTCCTTAAAAGCATTAAGATATTAAATTTCTTCAATGTGTTGTCCCATCTCACATCATGTGAAACCACAGAAAACAACTCTTTCCTCTGCATGTATGATAACAACAAAGGTAATCTGATTTCAGAGCTTTTGATCCTAGGTACATGCATGGCATTGAAAAAAAAAGAGGCATAGATAAAGTTGATTGCTCTGGTTTTGGAAATCCAGAACAAACTCTGTCTGGCTTTGGAAATCACAAGCAAATACAATCTGATGCGTGAATATTAAAATAATACAGTATTATAAAGATAGATTGGTGCCCAGGCTTGAACCAGCAGTGGCATTAATCACCATGGTGCTGCAGAACAGCACAACTGCTTCCCTTGCTATTTGACTCAGAGCATGAGCAACTTCCCCTTCTCCCTAAAAACACCCAGTAAAATTTACAATAAAAGAGTGTGTTTTTTTGTTTTTGTTTTTGGTTTTTTTTTTTTTAACGTTATATTGTAGGCAATACTATCCCTAAACATTTGCAAACATCTCATTTCAGGAGGGCACTTCAGTGGTCAGGCTTCATCACACCAGAACATACATTTCTGGTGTGGTATGTTCTAGATACATTGACGTGTTTGCATTTGTGCAGATTAGATGTTCTGTGTAAAGCATGGCCAAAATGATAGACATTGCACACACTCTGATCATCTGGAGTAGATCAGATAGATCTTTCATGATACACACTGACTGTATTCACAACGAACAATTCATCTGTGCATTCACAGTAGCCTCTGCAAGATAAATGGATACCCAGCACCCAGAGATAATGGACAGAACTGGTACTCTGCTGGACTACCCATGTTTGAGGAAAGTCAGGTGGCAGGTGGATGGAGAGACATAGTTCACCCTCAAAAGCAGGGCAGCTGACAAGTAAGATTTTATGCAGTGAAAATTATTTAGGCTGCTTGTGCACCTCAGCCTTTGTTTACTCCATAAGCAAATCTCAGAAGTGCTTACCATAACATGCTTGTATGAGAGCACTCATCTGTAGTTTGCAAAAGTTCTTTAAAAACCTGTTCACTGTTGTTAGCAGGGACCACAGAAGAATCTGTAAAATGACTGACAGTGCAAATCTTTGGAGGGCTGGAGGTGTTACTTATCTTCAGCAGTCAAATTGTGCCTTGGTGTTCTGACTCTGTGCAGTTGCTCTTGTGTGGGAGAGTAGAAAATAAAAGTAGAAATCAGCTATTACACAAGTAATCCTGGTATGTGTTGCCTGTATTTTGTCAGTCTAGCCCCTTAACTTTGTGTGTGTTCTTAGACCCAATGCTAAAGAGGACAGGGTGAAAGGAGAAGACATTACACACAATCTATAAGAACTTGTTAAGTAAACATCTCATGCCTCTTTGATGCTAGAAAAAATAAAATCCAGACAGGTAAGTCTGTAAAGCAGATATTTGACTGCTGTTGGGGTGACTTATTCATCATACATCTAGTATTCACATCCTTCTCATTCTTGATTGATGTAATGGCAGTCAGAAAGTTGTGAGGAAAAACTTGTGTTACTATTGGACCTTGTTCTCACTGGTCCAAGAGCAGCACAGGTCACAGCAGTGTTAACAGTGCTCTCCAAGTTTCACAGATTCCAGAATTAAGCAGATGACTCAGACAGTAGGTAAGAGCCTGATCAGTTTAGGTGTCTATCTTCCCATGTAAATTGGTTACTAATTGTTTTTGATACTTCTGTAAATATTTACAGTGTGTAGTTTTAAGATCTGCCTTTCAAAACTATCAGACTGGGTCCTTTAATTGTTCTAGTACTCCACAGTGAGGCAGCAAGCAGGAGGTTCCTTGGACTGTCCTGCAACTGATGCCATGTATTTCTGTGGAGGGCCAGTGCTTCACTTTCCCTGCTGCACATGCATTGATTTGAACCCTGCCATGCTGCATTGGCATCTCTGAAAGTGCATCTGGAGAAAACAAGTCTGTTTAGAAGTTTCTAGCCACGCCTGTGGGATATGACAATGAGTGTTTGATTAAAATATATGGGAAAAATGGTCATGATTGGACAACTGAATGAGTCAATTAATTTCACTGAAGTTTTCATAACGATTTTTCCTTTCTTGGGCTTAGCAGTGAGAAAACAGCAGGGATTTGTTTAAATGACAGAAAAAAAATCAGGATTAAGTAGGAACTGAAATTCTGCTTTACACACAAGAATACCTTTTATCTACACTGGATTTTACCTCTGAGTGCATTCTGGATGGTGCATACATCACATCATCCATGCCTATGCCATACTATTGTTTTCTTTACAATACCTCTTCTAGGACAATATCATGGTCAATAAAGCAGCAGATTGAAGACCTGGCATGTTTTATTAGCTGAATGAAACTTCTTATTGACACCACTTACATGACATCTGAAACATTTATAGAGGTCATTTAGTGTTTATTGCAATTCTGATATTGCATTTGTGACATAGACCAGAAAAATTAGATATGTAAGATCCACTAGTACCTTTTGATAATTCTCTAGTTAGTCTCTCTGCCTGCAGCTTTTTCATTATTCTCTTTTTTTTCCAGGAATGTAAAGTTTTCCAGCAGTTTAAATTGCATCAGGATGAAATTCACCGGCTGGAGCTGCTAGATACACAGATGCTTTCCCATGGAAGTGTAATTAGCCTGGCTCCTTGCACTACAGGGGGGAATTCTGCTACAAAGGAAGGAAAAGGCTGCTGGTGTCACCTGCTCTCTCTCACCATTTCCATGTGTTTGAAACTACCTTACAGTTCACATCAAATGAACTTTTATGGGACCTGTCCAGAAACTCTTCTATGATGCTGTGTTGAATTTGACTGCAAATTTGGCCTGGATGTTTTTCCATCTTCTTATGGCACTGACGTTAGGAACTCAATTGCTCTAGATAGCCTCAGGCGTCAATTTAATGAGTGTAGGAAAGAGGTTTTAGATTCAGCTAAATCAGCCAATGCAGAGTGTGCTCCAGTGCACATGCTGTTTGAGCATGGTTGGGGCTGTTCTACCCCCATACAAACCACGGAGAGACAACAGCATTTCAGTAAGGTAATACAATCTTCTGTGTCTTCTGAGAGCATTATACTTCCTATATAGCCAAAATTTAGGTGCTTCAGTTAGTTACATAAAGTTAAATGGAATGAACTAGATAGAGCTGCTGGAGACTTAAACGATGCTAGAAAAATAATGAAATTAATGAAGGTCCACAGAGACTTTCCTATTGGTATTCATTTCCATGAGATGATGTCAGATACTTTGGTGACAGGGAAGTAGAGAGTTAAGGCAGCATATTAATTGCATGGCTTTTTATCTTCTTTTAATATTTACCAAAACTTAACCATCTGACTCTTCTGTACCTGTGATAGAGGCAAATACTACTGCAATGTTTTCTTATGGAAGCACAAGTCTTCCACAAGATCATCTCTGGATGAGTTTGACAATTTTACTTGGGAAGAAGGTAAGGTAAGAAGGACAACGACTAAGGTTCCTATATATGCCTATTTGCTTTTAAAAGTAAAATTAATGGTCATGAATAAATCTGTGGTTGGAATCCCTGTGTAAATGGGGATTCAGGGATGGCGTAGCTGTACCCCAGTTTTAACTCAGCTAAAACTTAACTTAGTACTGAGAATAGATGTTCTTAGATGTACTCACTTTCTGTCTACCACTGTACCAGAGGGAAAGGATTTGGTTGCATTACATCTCAGGGCACCTCTGTGGTGCTCTACAGTGTGTTACTACGGCCAATTAATTGAACTGAGAAGCAGACTGTGTTTTGCTGCTTCTTGGTTCCTGTTAAGACCGTATCAGTAGCACTAAAAAGACATCCCAGACTTTATTCTGGCTGGCCTGAAACTTATGAGAACATGAATGTGAGATCTGAGAGCCCATCCTGCCTCTTATGTGTGCTTCCGAGAAAGAAATTTGATTTTAGCTCTTGCACTCAATCCAGTAATGAAAAGTTGTGTCGGATGTGAAAGGTTGTCACCAACATGTTTCCTGTAAACACTGATATCCAAACTGACCATTAACTCTTAGAAGCTGCCATTATAAAAGTCTCTGA